ATCATTAAACAGAGGTGGAGGCCTCCGTTTTCAGTTATCCCCCTCCTACAGTGCTGCTATTGCCAGTATCACTCCACCCCCTGTTAACAATAAGTGTTAATTAGGTGTCAACTCTCAGACTGAAGAAGTCTCTTGGAGAAGAGACGAAACGTTTCATTAGAGAAGAACCCGTCCAGAAGACCTATCCAATTTTTTCTTTTTGATTTTTTACCTGGATTACTGAGATGCATCAGGACACCATCAACACCTCACACTGCCACCTCCAGAGGTTCTCTGATGACTCTGCCATAGTCGGCCTCATCACAGGTGAGGACGACTCAGAGTACAGACAGTGGACCCAGGACTTTGTGGACTGGTGCCAGCAGAACCACCGCCGGATCAACACTGCTAAAACCAAGGAGATGGTGGTGGATTTCCGCAGACGCAGACCCACTCCACTGACACCAGTGAACATCCAGGGAGTGGACATTGAGATGCCCCCTCGACCCAGTGCAGGTGGTGGGAGACAGAAGGACTCTGGTAAAAATAACACCAATGACAGAGAACGTGTCCCACCCCATGCATGGAACTGTAGCTGATCTGCAGAGCTCCTTCAGTGACCGACTGCTGCATCCTCAATGCACAAAAGAACATTACCACAGCTCATTCCTCCCTGCTAGCTGTTAGACTTTACAACCATCACTGCTCCCAACAATCTTGATAAGTATCCATGTTTGTGTTTGCACATTAAATAGATATATCTCAATCATTACATAAATAATACCCTGTGACTATTGTACATCGTTTTTTCCTGTACTGGTCTTAACGACTGAGTTTGACTCACTTTGCAGCCCCCCACCCAGATCATAAGTCTGTCATGACTATTTTTTCCTGTAATTTATATTTTTCTGTACAGTGTCTTGTCTTATTTTCATTTGATCCAATTTCATCTTCATAGCCCATTACAGTAACGATTATTCTTACTTTTATTTTATTTTATGTTTAAACTGTCACTGTCTTTAATTTCTACTATTATTGCTACAGTTGATAATGTCACATGGCAATATACTGTTTGTGTGGATTGATATATGTATCTGCTGCTGATACTACACCTGAATTTCCCCGTGTGGGAGAATAAAAACTCTTTCTATTCTATTCTATTCTATTCTATTCTATTCTATTCTATTCTATTCTATTCTATTCTATTCTATTCTATTCTATTCTATTCTAT